TTGAGCTTCACGCCTGATAGAACGATTAATTTATTATTAGGAAATAAATTTAGTTTGACTTTCTCCATATTATATTTTTAAAACACATATTAATAATAAATAATTAACTAATAGTTCGTGCTATAAATGCATGAAATGAAATTCGACACTATTAAAAAATCGATTATCTTCTTTCGCCGGTGCGATTTTGATCCAGAACCAATTAGTCCTGTGTAGATGGACGAGGGCCAAGAATTGAAAAACCATGGGAACCTGAAATTTCAGATAATAGGGTAATGGTTAAAAAAAAATATGCAAAACTAGTGTCAATCAATGGGCACAAAGGGATTGCCTGGGGGAGGCCGGTGTTAATTAAAAGAGCGTGGTACCCACGTGGAAATAGCTGAGGAAAGCTGGAGGGTTGAGTGGTGAGCGTCATTTACCGCTGGCATCTAGTACATAAGAAAATGTGGCCACTGGGTGGGTTAAGAAAAAAAAATAGAGAAAATAGGATCAAGGTGAGAGAAAGACAAATGAGGGAAAGGGGAGAATGTAACGAGATATCCGGAGTTCTTCTAGGGTCTCGGTGTTCACGACGTTCCATCCTGGTCTCCCATGACTGTGGCACCACGTCGGAATGCAAAATTTAATTGGGTCACCGTGGTTTTCTCCCCTTACCTTCATTTTCTCCAGCCATCCCACCAAAAGCCACCGCCCTCACTCCATTCTCCAGTTTTCTCCTCTCCGTGTCTTGTCCATTGGTGTCTTCATGCTCCACAGTATATCAATTATATTGGAAAAATAGAAATGCTGGTGCAACTGATGAAAATCTGACTGATTGTTCCACGCGCGCTCTTTTCAAATTTTCTATCTGAAAATATGGCGATTGACTACCCAATCCCTATTAATATAATCAGCCTTACGTGTGGAGTGGAGGAATTAAAAAATAAAATGCAATAAAATTCTGGTAAATATATCATCAAGAATAGAAATATTCTCCTGTTGAAATATTTTATTTGTTACCCTGTTGTAAACGCCGTAATGAAAATTCGCGTTATGGTCAATTCAGCAGAATATAAAATCGTGGGATTTTTTGTCGCGATGGAAAATAGGTGAGTAGGATGAGAATAAAATAATGCAGGGACATTGTTTTAATTAAGAGATAGAAATGAAATATGTATGCATCTTCTATTATGAGAATTTTAATTCTCCCGGGTCCGTGGGGGATTTCCGGTATCCACGGTGAATTCTGATGTGCCCCTTTTTTGCGGAATCTAATATGATGAGAATGCGAGGAAATGCGGAAAGATGAGAATAAAAATTTAGTTCTCAAATTGGGAATTGACGAGAGATATCCGAATATATCGTGTAATGGAACGAAATAGGCAAAATTAGAAAATGGAAAATAACAAAATGAAAAACCGTGAAAACGTTGAAAATTCAATTGCATTTCACGTTGAATCTATTAAAAATCCAGTTGTCTTGGATTTTCAGATGAAGGAGGAATGCGTCCGCTTCTAATTAAAATTGCTTTCAAACTTGCGTAATTGAAAATTCAGCTTACCTGATGCCTGAAATTTCAAGAAATTCCTAACAGTGTGAATCAAATATATTTACAATGGGGCTAGATAATATTAAAACACTGGATTGTTTCTTCATGAAAGGTTTCATTCCGCCACGGTTTCCATGCGTGCTCTTTCTCAAAAAAAAAAACGACGAAAAAGTCCTCGAAATCACGATTATGGAAGCGGGCAAATGTAAGCGAGAGTAAAAGAAAGACAGTAAGTTCAGTCTGATGGGATATAAAAGAAATGAGTCTGATGAGGAAAGCTTGGAAATGCTTCTGTAGCATACACCCCTCTTTTCATCCCTCTTTCTACACGCGCCAAGGAGGGAAACGTGAAGGTCGAGAGCGCCAAGTATCTCTTTGGTTCTCCTTTGACCCTATTTTTTTTTTCTGTATATCTTTCTTGTTTTCTTCTCTACTTCACACTGGAATTTCCTGCAGTTCATCTTTTACCGGGGAATCGCGTTAGTCATGACTTTGAGGGGTTTAAAATTAATCACGGGATCATCTCAAAAGGGGGAGATATTGAACGAAATTGAGGATGCAAAGTTTTCTCTTTATTGAGGGGAAAACTTTTCCAAGCTTTCGCTATTTCAATATTCAACAATTTATAATTAAATTGTTAAAATGAAAATAACACTATTAATTACTCCAAATTACATTTCGCAATCCTGGAGTTCTATTATTAGGACTAATTTTCCTAAATGAAACAAGCGAGAGTAGTCTGCCATTCTTGCAACATTGTTAATATAATCTGGCGAATAGCAAGATATATAATGATTTTGTATAATTATTATTTAGGAGTAATTTCTTCTTGGAAGGATTTTAAGAGATTTATAGTTTAGCAGTAACTGAATTCGAAGTTACATTCGATTATCAGGTCAATTATTGAACAGTCTTATCTAATTCTGACGATAATGAAATATCGTTGTGATCTACATCCATCAGTTCGTCAAATAAGTAACGTACAACGCTCGAAGGGACATGAAAGACGTTATACATCTTCCTCATATTTTCTTTTTATTGTCTCCTTGCACATCACATCCACAAGCATCTCAACGCCAACAATGCGCCCCCCTGGACCCAGCCTGGTTTTCAATTTCTCTTCAAATGGACTCCCTCTTGTAAGTCTTCCGGTTCCCGGTAAATACAGGAAAGATAAAGGAAAACAAATAAAGGTGGATGCCAACGGAGAGGTGCAAAGTGGTGAAGAGGAGGAGACATTGAAGGAGAGAAAACACAGGAGAAATGATAATGACGAGACAAGTCCATTTCCACTGAAGACACCCTCTTATTCAACCTCTGGGCGCCTTCCTACGAAATTTCCATTTCGCTTTGCCTCCGAAGAAACCGGGGCTACATGCAAATTTTCCATTTTCCACGGAACGAGAGGCAACCCCACAGCCCCCCATTTTTATGGCTATGAACGCGGGAATGCTCCGACGATAAACTTTCGGATGCAGACACCAACCGATATGTGAACCTGATCGATCCTATCCTCGGTATATTCGTTAAATTACTTCATATATTCACCGGAAAATTCACCTTCAGATCTCGTCACTTCAAATCGATCATCACCCATTACCTGAAACTTTCAGGAACCCCATACACGTCCAGGAAAATGCCTTCCCATCCCAATCCTTTGCTTGCGCCCGCCCCCATCTCTTCAAATACCATCAAGAAAATTGAGAGCATAAGAAAAGTTCACTACTTTTACCGTACAACCCGATGAAACGAAAAACCCCCGAAAAATAATATCGACTCATCATCGGAAAACTCTCTTACCTATTTCTGATGGACAAAAAAATGAAAACAACAAACAGAGCGACGCATGAGTCATTGTTGTTGATTTCTCGACTATTCAATAAATCTTGATTTGTCAGATGAAGAAAAGCCGAAGAAAATCACGGCAATTCCGGTCTCTTTGGCTTCATCGATTATTTTTCAGCTGGATTGGATATTATTTCGATATCGGATATCCTCGGGCGATACGTCTACCAGGTTCGATTGGCGCGAAGGATAAAATACAGCTTCTTAAGAATCCGCGAGTTTCGAGTCAACAATAGGAAAAATTAGTATAAACGAATGAATTTTATTATTTCCTGACAAAAACTCAAGTTGATAATAATTAATAAAATTCGTTTAAGAAATAGAAAAATTCCCTCGTGAAATATCTTCTTCAAATATAATCCCATTAAATTTTCGGGAGGAATTAAATTCGATCTCCTATTTATTTCTCATTCATTAAAATATCATCCGATAACAATTAAAGCTCGACTAACCATTCCGTAATAAAACTCATTGAAATAATCATCCGCATTGACTCGATTCTCTCATTTCGCGTACCACACCATTATTTTCGCTGATTGGTCTCCTATTTCAATGGCCTAATAATTATTAACGAAATCAAAGTGAATTAATCATTCCCCTCACAAATCATTCCTATATACAGTATAAACATGACCAAAATAATTAAAATGTCGTATGAATTGTCATTTCCTTAACCATTTGCAAATCACACATGAAATTTTAAGTAGAAAAACTCAAAATTTATTACGACGACAAAGTGACATGAAATCTCTGTACAATTCTTCATTGCCGCATCAATTAATTTTTATTTTACGTTATTCTCACTTTTCAGATTGACATGATATTGAAAAAGCGTAACAATTTCCATAATTCAAGCAATAATTTCCCTGAATTTTAAAACATCACTTGTTCCAATGATTGTTTCCTTGAAACAAGAATGATGTGCGTATTGAATCGATGGCGTGCCGCCCCAATTCTAGAATAAATCAATGAATTAATAAAATTGGAATTGATGAATGTGCAGCCCATGTGTTTCCTTTTTTTATACCTTTTCAACAATTCCGTAAATATTTTCAATGACCCCGTGGGGGCAAATAATTGATGCTCAGGCATGTGTACGACCACATGGAATATAACCCAGAGGGCCATCCATTTCCACTATGTACTGAACATAGGATCGAGTAAATTTGACTTTACAACTCTATGTAACAATAAAACCGGAATATAATCTTGGCGTATCAGCATCTACATATTTATATATTCAGGCCCATTGCAACGGCGAATATGTTTTTTGGAGAATTACTGTATGGAACATGATGCCAGTGATTTATTTCTTCAAAATCGAATATTTTAATCCAATCAATACATATTCCAAATATATTTGCGCCGTAGATGGTGATCAAAACAGATAAAAACCGTCGGAAACCCAAAAAAATATGAGAATTAATAAAATTGTTTGCTCATCCCAACCCGAAAGGTCTGATCTATATGAATTTTGAAATTTCTATCGACGGACATCATAATTATATGAATTATCGAAAAGATAATATGTATATAATTTTTGTAGTATGCTACTCTGGGTGTAAATGTTTTTTTTTAAGAGCCAATTGGAACTAATTTCGATTTTCTACGCTCTCTGTTGCAGTTGTCCGAGGATATTGGATATGTGCTGTATTCGGCACTCGGTAGCTTCTACCTGCCATCATGTATAATGGTATTTGTATACATAAGAATATATTATGCTGCCAAGCAGAGGGCGAGACGGGGTATACGGAAGCAGCCGCGGCCGCGTCGAACAGCGCCTCCAGAGTCACCGGATATCCGTCAGACTAGTTTCACCCAGTTAACACCGGCAACAGACTCGAGACAGTCGCCGGGAATTACCATCATCGAGAATGTTGCCACCATTGAGAGCCCCCAGGTGCAAATACCCATTGTAACGTGTGATTATGCAAGTGATGTCAGCACTTCGGAGGCTGATCCAACGGTCAATCTTGCTTCCGAGGAGAAGGATACGTTGAAGGTAAATGCAAGTATCCATCCAAATTTTTACGAGGTACTTGGTATTCCATGGGTCGGGGAAATTGTTGGGGCGAATTTAATATTCCAAGAGTAACGCCCGCTTGACAACATATGTTGTCACCGAAAATCCATCATCATCACATGACGATGATTTCCTCCCCCCGAACCCAACACCACTGATCCAATCCCCGAATCCAGGATGCACGTCTCAAGATCTTTTGCAATAATACATTCAGCAAAATAACTCCCGACAAATTGTTTTCGCGACAAAAAAACTCATTGCATAAATACACGTGAGGCATCAATCCTGGTAGAAATGTAATTATTTATTTGTAATATATTGGTAACTGAAAATCAATTTGTATTAATTTTTCGATGCTTCATGATTGTGAATCTTTAGTGGAAATTATTGTAGCATCAATAATTTAGTCATCCGAGGAATGCCGAGGAATTGGATAATATGTTATTATTATGTAGGAGTTTTATTCTGTAGAAAGATCTCGAGACGTGGAATCCGAATCCACCGGGCATGAAATTCACTTTGAACTTGCTGCTAATTCAGGTGGGAATGCCGATGCCAATGCAAAAGCTCAATCTCAAAGCAACCCTGTCAGCGAACGGTGATGGAAAGCCATCTCCAAATGCACCAGCCCGTTGTCGTGCACCGAGTGTCGGAATAGACGTAGACATGGTTTCGGAATTTGAGCCATCATCATCGGACAGCGGAGTTGTGTCAAAGTGCGCTGCAGTGAAGCCCCTGAAGCTGCGGATATGTCGGCCAATATTCGGTAAGAAAGCAGTGGGCAAAGTAAAAAAGGAACCGAGTAATGACCCTCGTCATGGCAATCGCGATGGGATTTCTGTTGAAGCAAAAACACCAAAATACAGGGATCCAGAGCGTGAGAAGCGACGAATAGCCAGGAAAAAGGAGAAGAGAGCGACACTCATAGTGGGCCTTATAATGGGCAGTTTCATAGCCTGTTGGCTACCATTTTTCTTTCTTTACATTATCAAACCCATGCTACCGAGGGTATCTATTCCAGGACTCGCATCCACCATAGCATTCTGGCTCGGTTACATGAACTCCGCCCTCAATCCAGTTATATACACTGTATTCAACAAGGATTTTCGCCGAGCGTTTCGCCGAATATTATACAAATGATTATATCAACTCTTGTAATAATCACTCAACGAAAAATCATCGCTCGTCTGACTGAAACGCCACGCATTTAAAAAAGTATATATTTTTCAAAATTCCATTCATTTTACGCACATAAATATGTATATATCATTATTTACAAGCCTTTCCCTCCAGCTGAGTCACTTGTCCATCGAATTGCTCTAGAGAAATTATTATCAATATTGAAGAATTTATTTAATTCATTCGAGGCATCTGCATTTTCGTTGGAAATTTCTTAAATTTTCACTCGGACAATGACTCAACTGAAAAATTTCTTTGGTTGCTTCCGATTTCCCTCCAACATTCACGTAATTTTCCAAGAGCCTCCGCGATTACTAATCGTCAGGATAAATTTCGTAAAAAATTTCTCTCCATGTGTTTATTTTTTCAGGATAAATTGTCGTGATATAACGTGGATTTTGCCCGAGTGCAGTCACTCATATTGGCAACTACACTCAGACGAGTTTAGGTGCGCTGTTTTCTCACAATTGTCCAAATCGAACATTACAGATGGTAGGGTCAAGCACTCATCGTCCCTTCGGAATTGAGCACAAATTTGATCTTGAAGATCGTCGAGTGGGTAACAAACGCGTTCCATACTGGCCGATGGAGTGGTCAGTTTGGGGTAGAGACGTGTGTGTTGCCAAGAAAATTTGCCGAGCCAACCAAACAGCCCGAGACCGAACCAAACCACTAAAGCCACTTCTGGTAGAAGTGAGCGCGTGTATATAGAGCACTTTGAAAGCTCCGATAATATCCAGTACACGTACCATCGACTCTTTTTTCCCCTCCACCTTTCTCCTTTTTTTTACCTCTCATTTCCCGACAATTTTCCCTAGTAGTTTTTTTTTCTAGCCTGTTTTTACGACTCGGGGGTTTATGCACTCGTTTGCACTATCTCTCTTGGTGTTCCTCTTTGTCTTTTCGTTTATCACCGATTGTGTTGTACCGCGTACCTTTTGCGTTTTGTTCTCGCGGGGGATTATGCCCGACCAATCAGCTGTTCAGTATTTGTTCGGTACATGTTCGTGCTCGGGGAAACTAGTGCATCGAACAAACACGTTTAGAGTATATCGTGTTTTCCGGGGAACAAACTATTGATGATGAATTGTGGGCAGTCGCTGCTAATGCCAAGACCCGATGATTCGCGGAGGCGCGTGTCGGATCTGTGTTTGTGGAGCAGTTCCACCGGATAAAATAGGATTCAATGAAAGCAGTATTAACACGTCGGTGTCACAGTATTTTTAGATTGATTCAACGAAATGCAAATCTCTGGTGTAGGAATTTTTACTCGTTTTCCTCCCGTTTTAGCCATTTTCATGATGCATCACTGGCTGACCATTTATCCCAATAGTCAGCTGTGAATTTTTATCTCCGAAAAATTGCCAATCGGAGTTTATCGGCCGGTATGAATGCAAGAATGGACAAACAATATTAAAAAACATGTACTTTATATATTCCTTTCGACTGGAGGATTGTGATCTTTGAAATTTAAATTTTTTATTTTTTGCGTTCTGTCAACCCATTATGTCCCAAAAAGTCTGAAAATGCGCTCCTTGGATTTTCCATGAAATTCATTTTCTTCTCGTACATAAGTATTGTGATGATTGTGCTTACATTCCTCACTTCCCCTGGCATTGTAAATTTCCTAACGGCCTACTGATAAACTATTCAATATTTTGCTGACTAAGTTCGAAGATGAAAATAATAGCATTATATCAGAACGATCATCCAAAATTTGTATTTTGGAAATATATAAATTCAGGGCCTGTCGCGGAATATTATTTCTCAACTGAATTATCAAGTAAGCCTAATACCAATTGTGTTATCAATGCATTCGATTATGCGTGAAGAAAATATTTTTTCAATAAAATTTCAAGATGATCGCAAATGATCATTCGGAAGGGTATTACGAATTTAATAATAAAAATATGTATATCATAGCACAAGGAAGAGAAATCCTCACTAATTTTCCTTATCAATTAGACGAATGGAAAATATTGAAAGAATAATTTCCAATTATGAATTTATCCGGTGGAAAATGTCAATTTGTTGCGATAATCTCGGGGGCGAATCAATATTATTAATTTGAAATTATATGAACTTCCGTTTCTCGTTGAGGGGTTTCCTCCCCTATGTATCGTGAAAAGAGGCTCTGAATGAAAGCAGGAGGAGGACAGTAATGGCCACATGAGAGGTCTAGGTCCTTGTCCTGTTCCCTCTGACGTACTACAGTCAATATCCTCTAATCTACTTGCCTCCGAGATTCGCATTCACTCTGATTTTTCTTTCATATTCTCCGGTGGATGTATCTTATTCATACACCAAGGGTTCTTTTTATTTCTTCAGAAAGAAGAGTATCAGACGTAATGGGACACGAAAAATATTCACCGACACGCACAAAGAGTGGAGTAAAGGAAAAAACGCTCAATTTAGTTGAATATAGGGAATATATATTTTTTCTATTTGACGAGGTAGTCCTTTCGAATGTATTTGAGATCCATCGGTATCGGGAATTCTTTTTATTTCTGGCTTCAATTTCCATCGCGGAAACCCACAATACTCTGGGGGTGAATGTCATCCCTGACCTTTCAGGGCTGACCTTTTACATTTTCTTTTTCACTTCCTCTCAATGTAATGTGATTTTTCAAGGATGATGGGAATATCAGTGAAAGTCTTAATCCATTAGGAAGTTCATTAGAGTGAAAATAAAAAAAAATATGTACATCTCACTCCTTCATTTTCTCGTCGAGCAGAAATATTTTAACGGAATCTTAACGTTTTTATACACTGGCTTTCAGATGCGTGGAGTGAAATATTCAATAAAAATTGCGGAAGTTAAGCTCGTTTGCTGATTACGGAAGTGATAAAGAAAATTTGCGAGGCGATATCGTAAATTTTCATGGAAAATCAGATAAAAATTACAAAACGCTCCGGAAGTCCCGACAATTGCGTAAAGTTCTGGAAAATTTTTCTCAATCACATCTCGCTTCATTACAAAAAAAAATAATAATGGAAGTAATTTTTATTGAGTGTTTTTCTCTGTGACATATATTCAGAAGTTTTCACCGTTTTCAACGCATATCAATAAACAAATTGCTATCAATTGAAACATTATAATTCAAAATAATTTTATTTCTTCTTCCTTTTGATTTTCAAATAACGAAATATCCCGAAACTTCTGTACAAATGGACCTAATCTCTCAATAAACTGCAGTACGTCAATAAAATCAGACCCAAATTCATCAGACAATCAACGAAGGGAGAAAAAATTTTCCTCTCTTTCGCGGATGTAGATTATCCTCAGTAACGTGACAATCCGCTCGCCGAAGAGATTTAAAATATCGAAATGAATTAGCGGAATGTGAGTAGAGAGCAACTCAGCCGAGTGTTTCAATATCCGTTTCAACAGATTCGATTTTCATTGAAGGGGGTAAAGGAGAATTAAACCGAAATTAATACAAACATCGGAAACCGCGATTAGAACGCAAGTCCCACACATGTAAATGCATTACAGAGGACAACACATAAACCGATCAAATGCCCCCTCTCCTCTTTAGATACATTAACTAATTTTAAAAGCGTGAACATCTCGTTATTTTGTGTGGCATGGATTGACTGGCCAGTGTGTGGGATTTACTGATAAGACAGCGTTACCCCGACAGATTATTAGCGTCAGCGAGATCGATAACACGCATCGAAGTGACTTCGACATTTGCGACATCGAGCTCGATGAGCGAGAAAGAGGGACGAACATAATTTGCAAACGTCGGCATTGTGCCCAGGAATGAAAGAGGTCGGGGCATATAACTGGAAATTAAAAGCCCCTGTTAAAAAAAAATAACAATTTTCCTTTTTTAATCCCTTTTCTCTCTTCTGTTCACCCCGTGCATTGAAAAAAAAAAACTCTTTTGCTCACCCACGAGGCGCACAGACGCGTGCCTCTGACGCACGTACACTGCAAACTAAATGAAAACTAAATAAAAATGGTAAAAATTACCTTTTTTCCGGTCGAACGGATCTCCCATTCCCCGTCCCACTGATTATCCAGTAATAATGGAAAAATGGATTGGGAGATGTATTTCATAAATACGATTCTCTGTAATTACTTCTGTGGCATTGGGTTTGGTTCGCTCCAGGCAATTTCATTATCAATGTTCCTCCGCCGGCCCGTGAACGGGTCGCGCGTATAATTAATTAGAGTTGGCGATTAAAAATAAAAGAGATAAAAAAATCTTCGTTAGAAATTTTTTTTCTCTCTCGGCGCACGGTAGGAGGGAGGGGAGGGGCGATGTAATTGATTAACACCAGAATTTCTATGTATATTGTATACTGTATTATAAAAGAATCGAAAATAGTTGTCATTTTCTTGAACGACTAGGACGACGTAATTTTAGATGTTTTTTTTCTAATGCGATTAATAAGGAAATTAATAAATCTCATGAATCATTATATATACACATGGTACTTTTAAGGTATTGATTATCAAAATTAATGATAATGGTAACGATGGAATTAAAAATGTGTGAGACCTCGTGTTAGACGGGTCGACGTTTTCTCGCCAAGTTTTCAATGATACAATGAAATTTAACAAAATTACATTAAATATAAAGAAATCTGTGTGTCATAATTAACTGTTACAATTCAAATTCATAACGATATTATCTGCTAATGCATATTTTGTCGCGTGATGGACCTACGACTTATCTTAATTAAGGTCCAAGACATTTTAACGTTAATAATGAGGAGGTAAGAGAAAAATTCATTAACAAAATATGGATAATATTATTTAGGGAGTAAATCGAGTGGCACTCGATCGAATTGTGGATTTTAAACGACGTGAATATAACATGTGGACAATGAAACACAAAATGCTGACACACGACGACGTAAATTGTATTATAAATAATTGTACTTATATACATATGTATAATTCATGAATATAAACCTGATGAACATTCACCGTGTAAAGGATATATCCG